CCAAACGCCAAAAGACCCAGCAGCCCACACCTCCCTTGGCCACCTTTGATACTAGTATTAGTGCTGCATGCATGTATCTCTGGAAGAATGAAAATGTGGGGAAGACCTACAATTAATGGAATTTAATAGAAAATAAACAGCAGGTGCTACTATCCTGACTATTCATTAATATCCTGCATTAAAAATTTTCTAATAAATCAGACACGTCACTTCCAGATTGCTATGGAATCCAGAGACACTGACATAAAATTTAGGTCCAGGGCCCTGATTACGCGCACACGGACCCACCGGCGAGGAGCAGCATGCCCGCAGAGGAGGTGGCAGGATTACTCCCCTTTAGGTCTGGAGCAGCACACAATGGCACTAATGACCACTCCAGTATCTAAGCTCACTAACTAGCAGTGTCCTGGCTAGACACTGACTTCAAACATCTCAGAAGGGGCAGAAAGAAAAGAAAATGCACAAGTCGCTCTCTAAGCGGAGCAGACACTTCCGCAAGCAGTATATTTAGTGCACTGAGCAGAGAACTGGGAGTGAGGACAGAGAGATTCTATTCCTGATGTTCCCACTGACTCAATCTCACCTTGGGCAAGTTACTTAGGCTCTCTCTAGGGCATGGTTTACTCAGGCTCTCTCTAGGGCTCGGTTTCCTCAAACGTGGGGATGTGAAGCTAAAATCAACTGATGTCAGTAAAGTGTTTTGAGATCCCCACATGAAGTGCTAGAAAAGTGCAAAGTATTGCTATTATTCAGAAAGACTCCCCAGTGAGCAGAACTTTCCACATGTTGGTTCAAAAAAATCCAATTTCCCCTCATGCTGTAGCATAAGGAAGGGCTTCTTGACAGCTGCTTACTACCGCTCAGGTGCTGCAACCTTTTTTTTGATGGTGAGTATTTGCACTTTTTAAAGTGGACAATTTTGGTTGCTAGTTCCCGGGAAATCAGCTGTCATGCAGACCCATGTGAGAGGCTCAGCAGCAGGCAGAGGTCTGCGGGGCCGCTAAGCCACAAATTGCATTGGTCCCCAAACCATCTGAGTGTTCACAAAAAGCAAAATCACTTTTGGGAAAACAAAAATAGCTGAAAGAGTTAAACACAAACAGGTTGGTTGGAGATGGCCTGTTGGTAACAGCTCCATGAACTGTGAGGCAGTGTGCTGTGTCCTGGTCACCCGCCTGTTCCCACCCCAGAGGAGGCTGCATTTAAAAGGTGCTGTATGTAGTTTGTGGTGGACTTTGAGACCGTGGGGTGAAAAGGGCTCATGCAAATGTAGTATAATATATTACAGTATTAACTTAGGCTTTGCTTCTTCACAGGTTTGTGGATTGAGCTATCTGGCCAAAGAGTTATGCTTGTGAATTGGAGAAATGAAGCTGCTCTTCCCTTCCTTCCCATACTCATATCCCCCTTCCCATCCCCTCTATAATATGCACTCACTTCTTCCAACTGGCTAGTTAGCATTGAGACAAGAAGGGAAACACTTAACGGCCACTTAACAGGGCAGGCTGAGTTTGGGCTCAAAGGCTACAGTCCAGAGTCAAATGCAAAATGTTGGGGCCTTAGGCTCTTTCAAGTTTTCACAGACTCCTGATGTTAGCTGCACTGTTTTCCTGTCAGCCCATTGTGTTTCCCAGACACTGCTCAGCACTCCGTCCCATTCCAATCCACAAAAACACCTTTTTGAAAGGACTTTACAGGTTGGATGGGACAGGACAGCACAAACAGCTTCACAACACAGCACCCAAGAGGAGAGTAACCACAAAGCACAACACAGCACAGTGCTGCTTTTCTTGCACACTGCATGGGAAAGTGCCAGCATATTAGTGCACCTGGGCATTGCGTAAGGAAAAGCCAACAACAAAGGAAGAATCCAATCATCTCCAAACCCAGTCCACATTCATTTCATAGGGAGAAGGCAGCAACCAACAGCTGTAGGTTAAAATACATACAAGGAAAAGAGAAGCAACATAGAGAGTATAAACATGGAATATTGGGGGTTGAACTAAACCAGGACCCAGATCAAAATAAGCCCTGGGTATGGTTTTGCTGAATAAAAACCCAAACTGACATGGTTTTGCAAAACAAAAGTTGTTTTTAGGTTTTCACCATCTATTATAGAAAAAAATAAGGGCCAAACCCAGAACGACATATCTTAATCTTTTGGATTTTTGGGGGTTCAGATAAAGTAGGATCCTGATTTTCTTTTTGTAAACAAATACATGGTATTAGATCTATCTTACAAACAACTACAGAATAGGTCAGAACATGAACATTTAATCAGCTTGCAAATTCATTAGTTTAGCTTCTGACATCAGCGGTGTAAATCCACGTTATACAATTGTTTCTGTATAAGACTCTACTATAACCCACCAAGGTTACACTGTCATAACATTAAATTAATAAACAACAAAATACAGGAGTCGATGGGACAACTCACATGCATAGCACTAATGCATATGCTTAAGATTTTGCAGGCATGGAGCGAAAGTTTGCTGGAAGGACTGGGAAGTGCTGTCTACAACATAATTTTATGGCCTTACCCCACAATAGCATCATTTTTGGATAAAGATAATCAAGATACCTGGGAAGATTATTAAGAAAGCATTTCAAACAGCAAATAGAATACTGGGGACAGATACCTGGAATACACGATTAAAATGTAAAAACATAAAACTGATTAGAAAGTTATGTCTAGCTGGGAAATACTTAATGGAAATTGGTCTTGCCACTCTCTAACACAAACTGGTTATATTATGCTATGCTATGCATCTGAAGAAGTGAGCTGTAGCCCACGAATGCTTATGCTGAAATAAATTTGTTAGTCTCTAAGGTGCCACAAGTACTCCTGTTCTTTTTGCGGATACAGACTAACACGGCTGCTACTTTGAAACCTGGTTATATTATGTGTGGCATATGCAAGAAATAGAAGAACTCACACTTAATTTTCCCAAATACAAAAAAGAAATTCATGTCCATTTGGTCTTCCCTCCTTGATTACTTTAATGATTCTACTCACCACCCAAAAAGCAATGAATAACTGACATTTGTAGGGTGTTGGTGTTATTTCTTAATCTCCAATAATGTTTTGTCTTGCAGCAAAAGGGAATAATACGAGAATGAAGTCATACATAATGGATTTCAATAGAGGGTACCTGTGATATTATCTCTGTCACTCAGGCTAGTTCTATACTTAAAACGCTACCGCGCTGCACTTGCACGGCTGTAGCCTTTAGTGCAAACACTCACTACAGCGACAAGAGGGCTTCTCCCATCGCTGAAGCTAATCCACCTCCCCAAGAGGCTCTAGCTAGTTTGACAGAAGAATTTTTCCATCAACCTAGCATGGTCTACACTGGAAGCAGGTAGATTTTCCACACCGCTGAGAGACATAGCTATGCCAATGTAAATTTTCAGTGTAGACAAGCCCTCAGGAATTAAATAAAAGTTACTGCTGTTCTAAGTTTATTATCATGATGGAATTCTTTTACCAATATATTTTATTATTTTAAAAAAAGAGGATTCCATTTTTTCTCTGTGTATTTATATATGTCATTTATATTTTCTCAGTTAAAAAAAGAACAAGACCTGACTGCATCTACCACGCCATACAGCCATTAGATACAGACACTGTATAAGACAGGGAGCCAGAATTAGATACCCAGAGAGAATACAGGCATTCCACAGGAGGAAGGAGTTGAACCCAGAGACACGGAGGATGTATATAGAATCCAGAGAAGAATCCGACCTGAGGGACTGAGTTACAGGACATATGTATCAGAAGAAGAAACTGAATGCAGCAGTAGACTCACAAGGTGCATCCTAGATGACTGGTTCTGAAACTAGGAACAAAAGTTAGGATGGGATACATATATTCTATAGGGAAGCTGAAGCCAGTAAAAAAGAGACATTGTAGGAAGGAAGCACACTTCAATCAATCAGAGTGGTCTCACATATATACTGAAAAAAAAACCACCATTCAGTTGACTGGAGAGAGTCCCATATTTTCTCTCACACCAGTTGATCAGCACCTGATAGCAAAAATGATATCTGTGTCAGCAACAGAAATTGAGACAGGAATCCCTATGTGTTACCAGGAATGGAAAGCAGAGCCTGTCAGATTTCATGGATTCCTGAGGTCTGGCTGTGGGATCATACAGCCCATGAATTCCCATGCATTTGCATAGCCTTACATGACTACTGCTCTGTCTCTTTCATGAAGCAATTTGTTTGTATAGGTTCCTCCTCCCCCCCCATCTCTAGTTAGTAAGTTCCTCATCCTTGTGATCACAGGCCTGGGTGCAAACTCCAGGCAGGAATCGCAGACCTAAGGCTCCCTCCCCCCACTCCAGTATATTGTGAAATGTTTATGACCAGGATCTTATGGCTCTGGAGGTGCTGAATAGCCTGTTTTCTCCAAGTCTCAACTCCTGATGGGCAGCTAGAGACCAACTTTTAGCCGGTTTGGTCCCTAGTTGTGCATTTTATTACCCAGTTTGTCTCTTCAGCTCACATTTGTAAACTCCCGAGTAAATTTCTCCCTGGTTAACACTCTGGAGCTCAAAGAACTTTTCATGTTTTTATTACATCCTTAGTGATTAAAGGGAAATTTAAACCTCAAAATGTCCCCTGCCGTGATTATAAAAGCACAGCATCATTTTGGGTAGACATGTTTTTAAACAATAAATTAAAAATTAGCCCTCCTAAAGTGGACAAATGTTTTTAAGTTAAGTGAAGGATGTTATTAACAATAAATAAGTTGCAATTCCTTCATAGATCACTGGGTGGCATGTGAGTGAGTTGTATGGTCCATTAAGAGGTAAATTCTAATTGGACTGAGGGCAGAAGGGGTGTGAAATGGATGTATTACACTAAAAATATTAGACTTTATCCAACTTGTGTGCTTCTGCTAAGAATATACCGAGTTCCAATCTGTCATCTACGTAAGAAATCACTAGCACAAAAGTGTAGACCACCCACGCGTCTGTGATGAGAAAATGTATTTAACTGACCAGCACTTTAAAGGCTGCAATATCTTCTGCAATAGGAACATAGATTTAAAATACAAAACAAATGTCTATAAAGTACAATCAATGGAAACACTCAAATTCTGTGCTAAAATTCCAAATGGGAAGGTAGGAAAGGATTGAAATTGGAACTGGGTGTGGTGAGTTCCTTCTAGGAATGGCTTGTGTTCAGGTGTATAATTATCTAATAACAAAGGGAAGTAGTTTGTTATGGTAAATTATATGAAAAATCATAGCCTGGGCATAGTAAGAGCCAGCAGAAGTGAGCCCGGGGCAAGCTTTGGGTGTGCAAAGAGAAACTGCTTGCTTTACCCACCCATACCACTAAGCTTTGTATAGAGAGCTGCTCCGTGCCTCAGTCTCAGTGGAGAGACCAGTATCCTTGCAGTGTGGCTACAGACTCACCAGTGAGGGGGTCACAGCCTGTCTCCTCAGCACTTGCTTGCTTGACCATTTCAGTACCTTGAACATTTTTCCCTCTAGAATGAAGGAGAAAAACAAATTCGCCATCACACAGCATACAAAAATCGATCCAGATGCACATTTCCAGGTATTCAGACAAATACATTGTACCTGCACCGCTTTAAACACACATACTCACCCCCCACACTGCAGCTCCCCCATATGTAAGGATGCCATTTGTACTTCTGGACACACATTTAGACATACTAGCAACAAGCATGGGCACATACATAGACACAGCAACATGATAATTACTAAACACACAGACATATTTCTTTTATTACACAGACATACACGTGTACACACCCTCAAATATCAGAATGCTTATATTCAGACATATATATCAACAAGTAGCATTCTTCTATTCACAGATCTGGGCTCTCATTCTCTCCCTCAGAGGTGCACATATGATCAGTCTGCATGGATAAACTCTACGTCTATGATTCTAGAGCTTATTCCAGGGTATTTCTCTAGTGTACATGCACAGCTAAAGACAGTGAATGAGCTAGCAGGTTAAAGCTGCCCTTTCAAATTACTTCTCGTTTATTCTCCATCCACACTTGAGGCCCTGACTATAATGAAGCTGAAACTGAATTTAAAAAAACATGTTCAAATAGGGTGACCAGATGTCCCTATTTTATTTGGGGCTTTTTCTTATATAGGCACCTATTACCCCCCACCCCGTCCCGATTTTTCACACTCGCTGTCTGATCACCCTATGTTCAAACTTGGTTGTTTGTTATTTATTTATTTAGTGTGTGTGGTTGGTAAGCATGATGCTTTCTTTACATTCGTGTCCATGCCCAGAAGAGTTAACAATCTCTAGACAAATGAAGAAGACAAATGAGACGGCAACAGCAGAGACATAGGGAGGAAGAGAACAACAACAAAAACCAGGGGAAAGAGAAGCGCTTGTGGGACAGCATTGTTGGATCATTATTACATCAGAACTGGTCTTTAGCATGCTTTGTCTGGCTGGTGTGGATGGTTACAACCATATTTATAATTATGCTCAGGCTTGGGTCTTTACAGGTTTTAATCATGGTTCTAATAATTTAAGCGCTATCCACGCAGGCTGGTAAAACCATGCCGGGACTGGGTTTAAGGGGAACTCTTTAAACTTGTTTCCCATATTCTCTTTAAAGACCAATTTAGATAAGGCCTTTGTGGGCTTAGTCTCTGTGCCTCTTAATAAGGTGTACCCCATCTGGATTTAGAATAACCAAGAGATGAACCAAAGCAGTCTCAGAAAAGGGAATGTTATAGCAAAGTTGAGAGTACACTAGCCTTTTGGGAGGAATCTCTACTATTTTGCTACTACTGGTGCACTACTACTACCCTAGTGGTAGCAATGGCAGGAGCATTAGCATAGAAAAGGCACCTTTTATTTTTTTATCGTGGTGTCCTCTAAACCTGCTTTAAGCTGGTCTGACTGACTGACATGGTATTTAAAATGCTGGTGGCTAGTGTGTTCTGTCTACACCACTTCTACCACCATCTCTACCACTAATGGAGCTGCAGCTGTGGGAGTGAAATGGTGGGATATTTCCCACATACGTGTAATACAGACAAGGCCTAAGTGGTTTGGCATAACAGGAACTGTTGGTGGAGGCTTCTTACCGGTTCTTCTTAGAGCTGAGGCCATTCTCTCGGAACCCCTTTGCAAATGGATTGTTATCAATCTTCAGCTGGGTAACCTGTGATGGGGAGATAACAGAGGGAGAGAAGGAAATGGAAAAGAGAGAGAGATGGGAAGATGGAGACACAGAGAGAAAGGAAGAGAGGAAGAAAAACGCAGAGAAAAGGAAATAGAGGGAGAGGAAGAGAGAAAAGACAGAGGAAAGGATGAGAAAGAGGAAGGAGGGGTAATGAGAGAAAGAGAGAAGTGGAGAGGAACAGAAAAAGGGGCAAGAATGAGTGAGGGGAGAGAGTGAAAAAGGCCATGTTAGTTATGTGGATATTCCCCAATCTATTGGTGAAATGGCTTCAGAGTCAGACCATTCAAAAATGGAGGTTATTTAAGAAGGAAGTGGGACAGGAAAATAATGGAAACCTGGAAGATGAAGCTGGTGAAATCAGGGCACAATGCTGTCTTCAAAGGCAATAGCCCACATGATCCTATTTCCCAAGCCCTTCACTTAAAACCAACAGGCTGGTTTCTGAGAGAATGAAAATTTTCCATATGACCATTAGAAACTTCACGGGTTTTCTTATTTTTGCTACTACAGGTTAAGCAGGAAAAAGCAGTCTCTCTTGTTATGGCACAATTATGTTCATGTCACATGCAAAGTTTGTGGAATATATTGTATTCTTTTTATATTTACAGTTAATTTGGTGGTCTTGATTAAAGTGAAGAATAGAGAGTACATGCTAGAGTCAGCTATGGTGCAGACATGAGCTGTACAAGCCAATACACCCAGTCCTGATGATGTTATTGCACCCTTGGCTATTCCTGTACTGGGTCTCTCTTCAGACAAAACCATGGACAATTATGGAGTATTTTTTGTGATGTGGGCAAATGTCATTAGCTACATTACCAAACTCACACTTTTAAATTTGTGCTCAGAGCTAGGATTTGAACCGAGGTCTCCAGGGTGTTAACTAATAAACTACCTTTGTGTATTTTTAATAGCTTTAGCACCAGAGTACCTGAACCTTTCCCCATCATACCCTTAATTTCTACCTCTTAGTGCTAATGCTCATTTTGCTTGAAGGAAGCTTTATTTACCCCTGAATTGCCCCAGGTTCACAAAAAGTCACAGAGAAGATGGAAGGAGTCAGAGATAAGCTACCTTGGAATTCTGATAGGCTGTCACAGCCATAAAAGTTGTTTCTGGGAACACAAATGTGGCCACAGCATTCCAGGGCAGAGTGAGTGTATGTGCGCTGGTCAGCACCACATGGAATCGTGGTTGGTATTTGTGCATTGAATGCAATATAATCTAAAGCCAAAGAGAGAACAAGCATTTCAGGAGGATTTGATAACAATGTTGAACTCTGTATGGCATCACTGTGATGAACTCAACGTTCCTGGAAGAGTCACCTGGAAAGGCTTCAGAGGCAGTAGCATGTTGCACACCACCACTTTTAAATAACTGCTTATGTGCAAGTGGAATACAGATCACATTAGATCTAAAGGGAGTGGACGTGAATGCCACAACACACGTAACCCTGAAGATTTGACTTAAATAAACAAAAGTCTAGAATAAATTTGAAATTTAGCTCTATCCATGGGCCTGATCTTACACTTGTTGGTTCTTTCCAACCTCTCTCTCCCCCCCGCCCCCAATCTCTTTGAATTGGGACCTCCTACTCCTGACCCACTTGCCCTTCCCACTCACCATAGGTAATTGGGGGTGGAACTTGTCTACTTGTGCTGGTCCATCTCTCTGGAACTTCCCACAGAGCTGTACACTGAAGTGAAAACTTTCCTTTTCACTTTAGTGTAGAACTGTCTCCACATCTGTGGAACAGATGGGAATATGAAAAATGCTACTGTATAGAAAGATAGTTCATATGGTATGGGATTGCACTGGGGGAAGAGGGTCTACAACAAATGAGATGTTTTTAGTCCAACAAGGGAAACAGTAAAGGCCAGTGCACTGCAAGGTGCATATTGGAAAGTAATACATGGCAGAACAGGGAGGTAGCAAAGCCTCCCTCTATGGCTTGGGTGTGAACACACCTCTAGGAACAGGTCCAGGTCCAATTCTGAGCACCTCACTTCCAGAAATTTATTGCCAAACTGGAGAGAGGCTGGAAGGACCATTTTATTAGGAGAGATTAAAATAGTTAATAGCTTGATTAAGTGATGGCTATGGGGTGAGAGAAGAAAGGGACGTAACAGTGTACATATAAACACCAAAGAGGGAGAGGAATAATTTAGGGTGTTACAAAGGGGGGGGGGTAACTAACAGCATAAATAGGGATGAAAATGAGACAGGGAAAATTTAAGATGAACATCAGGAAAAACATCCTGGCTGTGAGGTCTTAGGGTGTGCAACACACTCCCAAAAGAAGGGGCGGAAGCCTCATTGCATGGAACTTTTAAAAGTAGCCTGAACAACACAGCAGTAGTAGGACCATAGGGAATAAACCTGCCCTGGCAGGGAGATGGGTGAGCTGCTCTAACAGGCCCTTCCATCACGTATAATTCTGATTAATATTAATATCAGTTCTGGGTACATGAAAGAATGAATATTATTCTCCTTGTTGTGTATGAACAGCATGTCATGGCATTAGACAACTTCATAGTGCAGTGCTCCCTATAAACCAATGGTTTGTAGCACCACACATTTATTCTATGTACGAGTGAAATGGTCAGGCCTCTCCTTACATGTTCACACTGCTCCAGAGTATTGTTGGTGATCTTGAGTCTCTGGAAGGAGACTGGTTCTTTCATCCAGTGACTGCCAGGAGCTGGAGAATCTGGATGGAGGTAGAAGCGACTGGGGAAATGGGGATCAGCTTTTCCAACTGCCTCCCAGTGGCCACAATGCCATTTATACCGAGTGTTGTCCAAAGGTACAATATCCACCAGCATCAGGTAGAGAGAGTGAGGGTTCAGGCCGGAAACAATCACTTTGCAAGGTGGGAACATACGTCTGCACAGAGGGAGAAGGAAGAGAGCAGAAAAAGAGATTTCACTGTATGCTTGCCCTAATCTGACGCCCCAGCTCTTGTTCAGGGCCTTCACTTGAAGGAAGTGCAGTTCCTTGGGAGCTCAAGTCACTGACTTTCTTGCACTGATAAATACAGCAGGCCAAATTCTGCCTTCATTTACACTTATGCAACCCCCGTGAAGCTGTTTACTGTCTCTATTGAGGGCCAGTGGGACTGCACAGGGATAACAGAGGGCAGAATTTGTCCTGCTGTGTGCAATGAAAATCGAAAACCCAGGATCAGATAATATACTGCAACAGTCCATATCAGGATCTGGAGAGCTCGCATAGGGCATATGGCTGTAAAACTATTTAAAAGGGGGAGTACTTGCCACTCCTTTGACAAAACACAGTGAGGTTGTTACCAAAGGCCCAGCATAATATCCATGCTTCTGCAGTGCATCCCAGCTACTGTCTTGGTCACTGTCCCTGATGGCGCGGGTATTACTGCTCTTACTGGATCACACAGCATGGAGCTTTCCCTTTAGTTCACCTTGTAGAGCTGTTGCCCAGGAATCATCTGACCCTCAAGTGAATGGCTTGGTCAGGGTGGTGTGCACCTTGCACACTCAGAGCACACTTTATAGTGTTATGCTGGACATGCAAACTCGTCACATTCATCTGGTGAGCCTGGTCACTAGTAAGCAGACACAGCACTTGGCTGGCTTGACCCAGAGAACAGGTGAGAGACAGAAAGGTAAAATAGTAGCTTCAGCGTTGCATAGCAGATGGAACCGAAGGTGGGGTTTACCTAGGGTGGGTGGGTGAGTGTGGAAAGTAACATGCTACAGGCATTCTTGGTGATACAGGTTTGCTCTCACCTGCCAGATTTGGTGATGATCATTTCAGTGCCAAGTGTGTAGAACTCCTCCCACAGTGCTTTGTTCTCCAGAGAGAGATGGACCCTGCCACAGGAACCATTTATGGATGGAGGGAAGCAGCCCTCATTATGGAAGGAAGTGAGTTGCGAGCTCTGAAGGGGGATCATCTGGAATTGAGGGAACAAGCCTCGGCATCTGCTGCATGGGGGGACAGGGTCACAGTCTCGCAGGAGAAGGGGAGAAAAGCAAACACATTAATGTACTTTCTAGAGAGTGGCCCACTCAGCTGGAACAAAAGCAATCCAGCTGCAAATGGAACATGTCAGAGGAAGGGGAGAATCCCTGCCAGGAGAGCTGTGCACTTTACAGCTATGCCAGGGAGAACATCCTTCAGGCAGGGTCACCTCCACATCTATGCTTGGCTGCAAGCACAGAGGGTCTCTTTGCAAGCACCGAGAAGCTTAGAACACCAACCCCAAATACTTTATTCCCAAGCGATCTGGTGAGCGGCACTGGCCACCAGAGTGACCGACACAGCGAGTTCAGGCTACCCCCTGATGGGACTGCGGCAAGCCAGGATTCCTTCACATTGAGGGCCAATGAGCTTGCCCACTGAGTCCTTGACACAACTGCTGAGAAGCAACTAGTCATAATGCTAGGGAAGACATGGCAGCATCATGTTAAGCGGGCCATACACATCAACCGGCCCCATGCTGAGCAAGGCCGCATTCCCCACCAATCATCGTCTGCCCTACTTCCATTGACAGCGGTTTTGTCTCTCTCCTGGGTTCATTCACTCACAACTATCTTTTCGGTGCTTCAAAGCAGCCTAGGATTTTAAACACAGCCCCAATGATACCCTAAGAATTCTGGGGACAGAGGGAAGGTAACATGGGAAAAATGAATGAAACAGAGAAATACATGCTCATTATTCAACTCCCCAAACAATCCCATTCAACCTGCTCTAGGGCCAGCATTTTTGTCTGAGAATCCTCGCTACAAAGGGCATCCTAGTGCCAGGCTGAGTGGACAGAACCAGGAAGGTCACCCCAAAGTCTGCAGCGGGGCCTTTTGCTTGGTCTCTAGGAGAGGAACATGACAAATCTACTCTCACAGCCTGGGGTGACAAAATCATGAGCCTATTCAACCACAGACTTGCAAAACTATTTTAGAGGAGGCAGAATGCTCACAGGTTAGGATCCAGGATTGCCCGAACCATCTCTTACCTGGCATCAGCATTGGTGCCCTCTGTCGGTGGCCCAAGCTGCAGCTTTCACCATGCTGGTGCCTGTATCGGCACTGGTGCCTTGAGCCACCGATATACAGGTCCCTTGAGGCATGAAGCATCATGTAAGAACCTGGAGAGAGGCAGAAGGGCTTGGACTCCAGTGTTTGCCAAGAGAGGCAGGGAACAGCTTATAACTTGTGCAGGCAAACCTTCAAATTCGCCACAGGAGCAGAAAGGGTAGAAGAGGGAGAAGTGAATGAAAGAGAGATGGGAAAGAGTCAATGAAAGGAGGCAATAGAGACAAAATGATAAAGATCCCGAGGATGTATACTGGCAATGCAGGCTTCTCTCTGCCTTTAGTATCCTCTCCCTGAACTCGGGGGTCTTGCCATTGGCTTTTGTATCCAGCACAGGAATGGCAATAAGAAAATCCTATACTTCCACACTTCATAATTCACAAAACCCCAACTGTTTGTCCCCAAGGGAGGCATGACGCTGTTTGAATGTCGCTAGCTTCATACTGCACTCCCTCCACCAGCCCTGCGATTGGGCCGGAGGTGACAGGTGGGTGCCACATTATTGAGCAGGCCAGCACCCAGAGAGGTTTCAGTCCCCCCGAGGTGGCTCTGGAGGGCTGTGGAGGTATTAAAGCTGGCAGCCATCCTGTTAAGGCTGAGAAAAGATTGATCCAGGGATGAATGAAGCTATTTCATTGTCATTCCAAAGTGTGATGTTTACAGGCTGCTCTTCTCATAGCTTTCAGAGAGCTTCAGATGGCTCTCCGGGGAGGAGGGGGCTTCAGTTTATGCCAACAACATCCTCTCAGTGCCTTTAACTCCAGCACAGCATCCAAGAATCACTTCCTCACCTTCCAAGTCTCAACAAATTCCTGCTAAGTTCAGGCCCCTGGTTCCAGAAATCAAAATCCTCTTTCTTGTCTCTAGGAGCAACTACAGCTGATTAACAGGGGACACACCTTGTAAGATTCCTTCTACCCTGGCCTACCTCCTGGGAATTCAAACAGCAAGGCTGTCCAGGTCCAGATTAACAGAGACAAAATGGAGATGGACACTTTTTTCCTGTCTCAATTCTAGCATTCATGAGAAGGGTCAGACTGTGCCCTGGAGACTGCCGTCCTGTTTATCCACAGAACAGGTACAGCATTGGCAGGGGCATGCTCCCCCACACTGTCCTGCCAATGTGCCTCAGCCCTGACGTGGAGGTGCCAGGACAACAAGCGGGGCCATGTTTATTTGTGGCACCTCTCCTGAGGCTGCCCACACATGTGGAGGCATCTGTGACATAGGCACTGATCCATTGAGAGCAGGAATGGGACTCAACAGCTCTTCATCCAAAGGCCTCTGCATAGGTGATACAGGCACTTTATGCAGCAAAGTGCATTGTAACATGTAGCTAGAGAAGAAACAGTAGCAGACAGTGGAGACCACTGGGAGATGTTTTTAAATGTGATTTTTGCACTGAAAGCTTTCCTAGACATTTCTCATCAGTGGCCCCACAACCACCAGGTCTGATTCCTGCTCCCACTGAAGTGGGAAGAGGACTGGGCTGATGGTGCTGGGCAGCAGATGTTACGTCAAGACTGAGGCCACCACGAGACTCCGAAGGAGAGAAGTGGGGGAGAAGAGAGGCCAGGGGGGATCTAGAGCCCCCCCCCCCGAGTAACCCACAAACTGGTGCCTTTGGACTCTCTAGACACTTGTGCCCACAGAGGTCATCACCTCCTGGTTCTGCTTCCTGTTCCAGTCACCTGAGATAGGTCAAGTTACATAAGGTTAACACACTCATCACACAACAGGATCAGTATCCATTGTTATGGAGTATGCCAGCCACTCAAATACTGGGAGAGTGGAGTGTAGGTTACGTGTGTAGCTACACACTGCAATGAAAGGGAGGTGCACACTGTTACTGCAGCGTGTAGCTATGAGGCAGTGAAAGGCTCTGTCGTGGGGAGCTGTGCCAGAGCCTTTTCCCCTTTGCCTCTTCCCTGCTGGAGCCTTTCACTGCAGCACGGACAGGCTCTGGCAGGGGGGAGCTGCCGGAGGTCCTTCCCCCATACCTCCCCCTTGCCGGAGTCTTTCACTGTAGCAGGGAAAGGCTCCAGCAGCAGGACACTACACTGCTAAAAATAGCGTAGACATGGGAGGCATTGCTTGGCCATCTCGAGAACTGTGTAGGATAAATGCCCTAGGGTTCATGTCTCTACTCTAGTCGCCTACGTAGTGAATCACCCTCTACACTGCTATTTGTACCCATGCTAGCTGGGCGTGAAGTGTCTGTACTCTACATGCTGACACAAATGGAGATCTACCTTGAGAAAGACATTTGGGTTCATGTTTTACAAAAGCAGTATTGACAACCCAAGTTTCAGCATCGTGACTCAGCCTCCCTACCCCCACAATCACAAGAGCAACTTAAAAATCAAATAATCCATTTTCAAGTTCTTTTTCTTTGCTTTTAGGTTTTAACCTTTTGGGGTTCAGATTTTTAAACCTTTCTCCATGTTCATGAGGGCTAGAAACTTTCATCAAAAGAACAGTAAGCTCAGAGTATTCACACGACTCCAAGAGTTAGGGCTTTATATTGCAATGACCTGTGATATAGGAAGCAGGAGTTGCAACACAGTTACCATTTTTTTAAATACCGATTTGCTGATTTTTAGCAATTTTTTCCTTTACATTTATAAGTAAACTATTTTTTAAATATATTTATTTTAATGGAAGAAAAATTTTATCAGGCAATAACAGTCAAACCAGTACCATTTATCTAACATGGTCCCCTCCCTGTGAATTTTGTGGGGTTAGACCACATTTGTATTTGTTTTTCGCAAACCAGAATCCCAGCCAATGAGGCTTGCAATACAAATCCTCCCCACCATTTGCTCTCTCTGTCTGTAACAGAGGTGCCCTAATACTGGAAATGTCTTCCCGAGACCCTCACCCAAACTTTGGAGTGTGGATAAAATGGGATCTGGGTCTGAGAAAAACTTTTATTATGGTTTTGCTCTTACTGACTAGCTGGAGCTTCCCAAGGGAGGGAATATCCAACCATATCATGGTCATCATCACAGCTTCCTTCCATGACACCAGGGGTTACAAGCAGCTACTTTAAAAGCTTCATTATTTCTCTCTTCTGAGAGAGATGATGAGACCAGAGTGGGAGTTTATGCTCAGTAATGGTCCATAACTGCTTAAAAAATTACCTGACCATCTTGGTCTCATTAGTTGTCTGCCAGCTACAGGGAACTGAAGTTGCTGCTGAAACTCATTTTTTAATAATGTTATCACAAAACTCTGTACCAAATAGAATTAGCACCAGACAATCAACTGACATTTAATCAAGAAAAGTTTTGAAAAGCAAATGGAGTGAAAACAGTGCAGGAGGTGATGATTTTTAAGCAAACTCCAACCAGACCAAAGAACACAGTTGTGTGCCGTACAATTCCGCCCCACCTTTATTAGAAGACCCACATCTGCCAAGCAACTGGTTTTTGTCAGTCCCTGAAGACAGATTTCATTGTAGAATTTCTGCCAGTCAGAAACCAGCTTTAACCACCTCATCTCCCAACAGACATGTGCTCTTATGGATAAGCTGGCCCATATCTGGCTGAAGGACACAATAGGTCTCTTCTGAATCAATCAAATTCGCCAGAACTTCAATAATGGCAGAGAGGGTAAATCTGTCTCATTGTACGATGCTGCATCAGACACAATTATTAAATCAACGTCAGTATTTTGGGTGCAAGGGAAAAACCCTTGTAACAGAGTGATATTACAGCATCAATGGTTCCTGCTTTGGAAATGTGTTGCTTTGCTGTTCATGTAGCAGCAGCACACCATTCTACCAGAACAATGTGCTAATTCCATTGACATTTCTTGAACTCCACCATCTGGTTTTGGATAACTGTCTTCATGCAAGGCT